CTCACCAAGTAACCTAGATGGCAATGGCATTAAGTGACAATTAATGAGTTGCAGAATAACCCACTTCCAAATTTGTTCCTGTGCCTGGGTCATTTTTCCCAGTTTTAAAAGAATGGAATAAAGTGGGCAGTGTGCAGAGTAGCCCCAGATGGGATAGCATCTTGAAAACTGGCATTCTCTGAATACTCATGCAGAATCCAGAAATATCTCATGGTCAGGATGAAAGGTCTAAATTTAATACCAAAAACAGAAAATTGGCTTGGCTTTCCCGTACTCTGCACAGGAAAGTTCTTGTTTGGAAGTTATGAAATGAGAAGGGACTGGAGGCATTATGTTCATAGTATCCTCAGATTTTTGTGGAGACCTGGGGAGTCTGCAGATATCTCAAGACCTCACTTGGCCCACGATGGAAGCCTGTAGTGAAGAAAGATGATTTGTTGGGAGGAAATCGGGGAGAAAGTTTGCACTGATATGGGTACTCTCCAGAATAAGTACAGGCTCATTTCTTCCTCTTCTGGTTTTGCCTACCCAGCTTTTAAGATTTAACCACCTTCCCTGACTTCTGGAAGAGACATCTGTTGTTCTTGTTTGCACTGCATCTCTACCTCTGGTAACAGAATCCAGTTCTTCCTTTTTGGGAGCAGGCCTCCTCTGATTCATCTATCAGAGTCATAGCAATGGATTCAAGAATGGCCTGACACACTTGAGACCAGTGAGGGTCATCCCTGGGAATTTGCTGGAACTGTTGGAGAAAAGATTCTAGTTTTAGTGAGGTTGCTAGGCAGGAAGAATATAAACCTCTTGCTAATAGCAGCCCATTCAGAGGGAAGTGGAGATAAGAGACAGCGAAATGAAGGGAGAAAGAATATCAAGATGACCTAGATCACACCGTACCTGAAGGCAGAATATCCTTGGACTTCACAACTACATGAAATGATGACCCCCTCCTTATTTTAATTTTGCACTAAACTGAGTCTTGAAAAACACATTTTGACCAGGAGTGATTTTTTTTTTTTTACTCCTCTGAATAACCGGAGGAGAAGTTCACAACCATGGATAGCCTTGCAGTATCTATAAGGTTAAATAAGGGAGTTGTAAGGGTCAGCTTCTAGTTTATCTCACCTCCTCCACACCTGTCCCCACCCTCTTCTCCACTAGAGGCTGGTGAACTTTTAAAGCACACTTCCATTTAACAGCATCTTCTTATCAGAGGGCTTCAGGTGAGAAGCAGATTGGGTATTTTAGCATTTTGGTAGCAAGGAACAAGTAGGTTTCAGCAACAGTTTGTTGTTACAACCAAAAACTACTAAGGAATCCACCTCTTCGGTTCTTTGGTCTACAACCATGAGCACCCAAGAGGCTAAAATTAACAAAAATTCAAAGGAAAAGACAAACCCAAGAATGAATGACCATCTACCTCCCAATTACTCATGCCCCTGCTCATCTGACTTAGCCAATGGAAGCGCTTTATCCATAAGGCAGTGGAGGTAGGTACACAGATGTTCATAGCACATTGTTCAGTATAACCAAAAAGTGGAAACAGTCCAAATGTCCCTCAGCTGAGGAATGGATGAACAATGGACTGTTATTCTGCCACAAATGGAATGAGGTACTGATACATGCTATACAACACAGATGAACTTTTAAAACATTATACTAAGTGAAAGAAGCCAGACAGATACTTTAATGATTCCTTTTATGTGAAATATCCAGAAGAGGTATAGTCATAGAGAAGGAAAGCACATTAGTGGTTTCCAGGGGCTGTGTGGTGGCAGGTTTTTTTTTTTAAATTGGGAACTAGGAGATGATGGCTAAAGGGTATGGGCTCTCTTTTTGGGGTGATGAAGATGTTCTGTGATTAGATAGTGGTGATGGCTACACAACTTTGTGAATATGCTAAAAGCCATTGACTTATGTACTTTATTTTTTATAATAATTTTTTATAAATTTGAGTTTTGACACACATCATTACATTGTTTTCAGGTGTACAACATAGTGCTTCAATTTCTCTATATGTTATGCTCACCACAAGCGCAGCTACCATCAGTCACCATATGTCACTATTGCAATGTCATTGACTATACTCTCTGTGCTATGCCTTTTATTTCCATGGCTTATTCATTATTTAACTGGAAGCCTGTTTCTCCCATTCCCTTTCAACTATTTAGTCTAACCACCCCCAACCTCCCCTTCCCTCTGGCAACCACCACTTTGTTCTCTGTATTTATAGGTATGATTTGGCTTTTTGTTTGTTTGTTCATTTGTTTTGTTTTTTAGAGTCTACATATGAGTGAAATCATATGGGATTTGTCTTTTTGAGTCTGACTTATTTCACTTAGCACTATACCCTTTAGGTTCATCCTTTTTGTCCCAAATGGCAAGATCTTATTCTTTTGCATGGCTCTGTGACATTCCTGTATGCGTGTATGTGTGTGTGTTTGTGTGTGTGTGTATCTTCTTTATCCATTTGTTTATTGGTGAACACTTGGGGTGCTTCCATACCTTGGCTAGTGTAAATAATGCTGCAGTAAACATAGGGATGCATAGATCTTTTTGAATTAGTGTAAATTATATACTTTAAATGGGTGAAATATATGTATGTGAATTACACCTTGATGAAACTTTTTTTAAAGATTTTATTTATTTATTTGACAGAGAGAGAGCGATCACAAGTAGGTAGAGAGGCAGGCAGAGAGAGAGGGGGAAGCAGGCTCCCCACCGAGCAGAGAGCCAGATGCGGGGCTCAATCCCAGTACCCTGAGATTATGACCTGAGTGGAAGGCAGAGGCTTAATCCACTGAGCCACCCAGGCGCCCCAGAAACTTTTTTTTTTTTTTAATAGACTCGGGAGGGATGGGACTTCTTCAGAAAGACTATCTCATATAATTGGACTTCCCTTCAGCTATTAAAAATGTCAAATATGGGGGCGCCTGGGTGGCTCAGTGGGTTAAGCCTCTGCCTTCGGCTCAGGTCATGATCCCAGGGTCCTGGGATCAAGCCCCGCATTGGGCTCTCTGCTCAGTGGAGAGCCTGCTTCCTCCTCTATCTCTGCCTGCCTCTCTGCCTACTTGTGATCTCTGTCTGTCAAATAAATAAAAAAAAAAAAAAAAAAAAAAAAAAGTCAAAAATGGGGCGCCTGGGTGGCTCAGTGGGTTAAAGCCTCTGCTCAGGTCATGATCTCAGGGTCCTGGGATCGAGCCCCGCATCGGGTTCTCTGCTCAGCAGGGAGCCTGCTTCCTGCCTGCCTCTTTGCCTACTTGTGATCTCTCTGTCAAATAAAAAAAAAAAATGTCAAATACAGTTCAGCCAAGAGACATGTTTTGGGGTTTATAAGGAAGACTCAACATCTACAAGGAAAAGAAGTCTTCATGTGGGTAGCTTGACTTGGGATGTAATCAGCCTTCAGTGTTGTGGAATTGTTGCTGAGTTCTTCTTGGACTCTTCATGAATCCATTCAAGGTTTTATCTTAAATGAATCAGGGGGTGGTAAGTCTTCCTCTGGCCTGTATCTGGGCCCTCTACATAGGCAGAGACCTAATATGAGCAGGCTTCTCTCTGTCTCACTTTTTTGGTTCAAGATGGAATATAATCTTCTCAGTATGTAGATTCCAAGAAGCGTGCTGACTGGCCTCAAATTTTTCCTTGGGTTCCAGAGCAACCACATTAAACATAACATCCGTTCAAATTTGAGTGCAAAGAGTAGATTCCATTGCTTACTCCAATTTACACAGGATTGCATTCTCATAACTGAAAATTATAGTGCTTCTATAATAGCCGCAACAGGCAGAGGAGGAACTAAAAACTACCCAATAAACCACTCTTATCTTTCTATAGCCTACATCTGTAGACTCTGGAGAAGGAGCAAATCTAACCATCTCGCTTTTTAAAAAGTAGGGGTAAAAAGGTAAAATGTCCTTAGCTCTTCCAGTGTCAGGCACTGTTCTAATGACTTTACCTATTTTGACACACTTAATCCTCACATCAGCCTTTTTTTTTTTTTTAAAGATTTTATTTATTTATTTGACAGAGATCAGAAGTAGGCAGAGAGGCAGGCAGAGGAGGGGGGCGGGGGACAGGCTCCCTGCTGAGCAGAGAGCCCAGATGTGGGGCTCGATCCCAGGACCCTGGGATCATGACCTGAGCCGAAGGCAGAGGCTTTAACCCACTGAGCCACCCAGGCGCCCCTCACATCAGCCTTTTGAGGAAAGTAGTATTATAGCCACACATTATAGAGGAGATCAGGAAAGGTCAGAGAGGTAAGTCTGCAAGATGGCAGACCCAAGGTTTCAAATCCTGGTGGCCCAGAGAATCTCCTAATACACCCACCAGGATCAATTAATTATTCAGTCCCTTATATGAATCTTTTACTGTTCCTCCCAAAGTTATTTAAATTATTTAACTTTTCAAGGTTTTCAGTGTTGCCTTCTCCAACTCGTCAGGACCATCTGTGAGCTGGGATGGGTCTTCGTTTTCCCCCAGGTGCCCGGCAGGATGCCTGTTTCCGTTCAGTAGTCAGAAGGCAACCAGCAATGGAGTCATCTTGCAACGTTCTGTTCCTTCTGCTCAAAAAAAAATATCCCATGTGGCTAATTTTCACTGATCCTTAAACATCACTTTATCTGGTGGAAACTTTCCTGATTGTACGGGCCCTTCAGACCCAAATAAACTCAGGATACTTCATCTGGGCTCCCCCATTATCCTTTTGTGATAGTATTGGAGTTGCCTTTCAGTCGTCTCTTTATCCGCAGTAGACTATGCTCCTTGAAAACAGGAGCCCTGTAGTAATTCCTGGCTTCCTTTGCATCGCCAGCAGCCAGCGCAGGGCAAGGCAAATAGGAGATGCCTCATAAGGAATTTGTTTCCCTTTTTTGTTTGTTGTATTTTGCTCTGAGACTGATACTAAATCTGTAGTTGGTTTCTTCCAAGATGTTTGGACAGGCGACTAAGTTTTCAGGGCGTGAGGAATTTCATTTTTTTTCTCCTCATATTTTCCTTGCCAGCTGACATCACGAAGTACAGTGGTCTCCAGTCCTCACCGTGGCACGGGACCGGTAAACGCACTTGCACGTGGGCCGGGCACCTCACTTTTCCCCGCTGGGGACCTCTGCCCTACCGTGCCCCCGAGGGCCCAGCGGAAACGCCCCGGCCCACCCGCCGGAAGTGACGTAATCTCACGGCCTAGCAACCGTTGCCAAGGAGCTCGTCTCTAGGAACCCTGTAGAGCCTGGATGCCTCCTGCGGGGGGGAAAAGTGGTTTCTTGAGGAGAATTTGAGGTAACCTCGGCAAGACGCGCTCGGAAACTTCCCTGAAGCCCCCCACTCCCCAAAAGAAAACTCCCTCCTCCTCCCCTTCCCAGTGCAGCACCTTCGCCAGGGGAGGGTCGCAGCAGTTCAGCCCCCAACGCCGGGGCCGGTGCCCGTTGGGCCTCCGCGAGGATCCAGGCAGCTCCCCCGAGGGTTGAGCGGTCGGGGAGCCCAAATCACCCCCCGCGAGGTGTCTGGGTCGGATGTGGGGTCCCCTGTCCCGAGCCCCGAGCGCGGGGGGGGGGGGAGACACTATTTTTGGGAATCCTAAGAGGCTGCTGGTCCCGCGCTCGTGCCGGCCTGGGACCAGGGCAGCGTCGTTTCCGTCCCGAGTTGTGCCAGATAAACGCACGTCCTGGTTTTAATTCCCCCCCCACCCCCTTGGGCTCTTATGTGGGTAAGTGCTCGTGAATTAGTGTGGCGACTTTTCCGCTGGCAGAGGGAGAGTAATTGCTTTTGCTAATTTTAGAGCGCAGAGCCCGCTGGGCATAGACAACCTACCTGTTCAGTACATCTTTGTCCTTAGCTGGTGACCATCTGAAAGCTGGTGGGCACCTAGGGGGAACCCGACTAGTTTCTTTTCCTCTCCTGGTAACGTTTTACTCGTTTATCCAAGTGTCTTGTTTTGAAAGGGAAAAAATATATGTGTGTGTGTATATATATGTTATATATTATATACATATAATTTCTAAATCATTAAACTTATATATGTATGGGAAGGTTGTGACGTGGATTTTTACTTAAAATATTTTTAACAACGAAAGACTTGCATCTCCGAGGTGGATTTTTATTTCGTTTATGTAAAAGTTTTCCTTTTGTAGATTAAAGGAAGCCTCGAAATTTTTAAAGCACATTGGTTATCCTTTCTACTATCTTTTGACTCATTTTTTAACAATAATAATCACTGACTCATAGTTTTAGAATTAATGTTTTACAAATATCCAGCTACACCCTCCCCCAATTAAAATCTATATCAGAGCTAAATGCATGCAGCCCCAACTAATGTCTTTGATAAAATAGCGTCTATTCATTTCTTAGTTAAAAACTCTAAGGGAGCACTGAAGTAATTTTTTAAAATTTCTTTTCTTAGCAGTTCATTTTTTAATTCCTTTTTTAAATTGCTAATTTAAAAAATTGCCTGCCTGCAAATTTTCTACCAGTTCTTCTTAAACAATTGATACCCTCAAGCAGGAAACACTAGGAACTGTGGTAAAGCTGCTTCAGCAGTTAAATAATGAGAAATTTAATTTTTTTAAAACTTAAGATCACCACCAGTCGACTTAGGCTTATCTTTCTTTTTCTGGCCTTGGGCCTGTGAACACATTTATCTAGTCAATGGAAGAATTCAGTTTTGATGCAGTGGGTATTCACAGATAGAATTAGGCACAAAAATGTCCTCATGGAATTTACACTTTAGTAGAGAAGAGAAAACGTACATGAGTCACTAGTACAAAACAGAAAAATAACTCTAGGAGAGCAGTGCAGATTAAGTGTGGTTAGCCTCCAGGGCAGGTGCTGCTGCCGTTATTCTGATGGAGAATGTGGGAGATAGCTTGAGAATGACTTCCTGGAAGAATGTGCATTTGGAGAGCAAACCCTGAAAGACGGTTAGGATCTGCACCTGTGGAGATCAGGAGACGAACAGTTTTTCTAGGTAAGAAAACAGCATTAACTGAAGACAGGTGAAAAAACTAAGGAGCAGTAACTTTCAGTCGGGTGAAATTTAAAAGAGTGAAAGGTAACAATTTGGAAAAATGAAGGTGGGAAAACTCAATTGAGTTACATCTGAAAAATAAAAATTCAAGAAATTTGGAATTTATTTTGTGAGCAATGAGAATCACACAAACGATTTGGAATAGGAGAGGCAGGGCCAGAAAACTCGAGGCTGTTTCCTTATTGAAGGCACAGGGAAACATAGGCCTGAATTAGTCAACGGTGGCAGAGTCGATGCCTATAGTCCATTACATCAGTGGGTGAAGAGTGCTTGGTGGAGGAAACCAGAAAACCAAAGAATGCACATCCAGACTGAAGCTTGCAGCCTCAGCTCGGCTTCATTTGGGTGTGGCTGTGCACAGTTATGTGCCCACGGTTGCCAGATCTGATTTGGAAGAGAAACTGGATGTCTGGATTTTTAATGTAAAAAAAAAATTTCCCACTTTTTAAAACATGGGCTGCTAATTAAAAAAAAAAAAAATTAGAAGCATGTCTGTAGCCTACCAGATTTTTACCCCTGGGTAGTTGTGGAGCTGAACAGGAGAGATGTTATTGTAGGTGGGATTTATTATTCATTTGTCCATATGAACTCAGTGTTAATTCAGATGATTGCTGTCTTACCAGATGTATATACAAAACATGGTATTCAGTATTAGCAGTATATACTGTAACATTCAAAATAAAGTCTTCATATCCTGATTTCTTTCAATAAAATAACCCTTTTCACAGCATTTTGTATGCCATGGAGAATTAATACTCTTCATTCCTACTTCCTATAAACTTAATACTAATTTTTTTCCAGAATGTTTGTTACCAGTATTGAGGAATTTTATCTCTATTTTTAGTTATAAGACCCAATTATGAGTGATCAAATCAAATTCATTGTGGACAATCTCAATAAAGAACCTTTTAGGAAGAACTATAATTTAATTACATTTGATTCCCTGGAGCCAATGCAACTGTTGCAAGTTCTCAATGATGTTCTGGCTGAAATTGACCCAAAGGTAAGAGTTTTCTCTTTCTTGTGATGAAAAGGATAGCAGGAAAGCCATTTTCTGCCTCTAAATATCTGTGACTCTTGGGCCTTATTTTCCATGACTGTAAAGTAATAATGATGTTTAAGATTTCTCCACTAGCTTAAAAATTAGATTATCTGGGGCGCCTGGGTGGCTCAATGGGTTAAAGCCTCTGCCTTCAGCTCAGGTCATGATCCCAGGGTCCTGGGATGGAGCCCCACATTGGGGGCTCTGCTCCGCGGCGAGACTCCTTCCCCCTCTCTCTCTCTGCCTGCCTCTCTGCCTACTTGTGATATCTGTCCGTCAAATAAATAAATAAATAATCTTTAAAAAATTAGATTATCTGCTTGTACCTTATTTAGAAATTATTTCTCTGTTCCAAACATAAATTGATTTGGTCCTAGAAAAAAAAATGCTCTTACAAAAGGTTTTATTGTATTGCAAGTTAGGTCACGTCTCTTATACACTGGTCTTTTCCACTGGATACTTTTTAAGCTTGACATTTTTTTTTTTTTAAGATTTTATTTATTTATTTGACAGAGAGATAGAAAGCACGAGTAGGCAGAGCGGCAGGCAGAGGGAGAGGGAGAAGCAGGCTCTCCACCAAGCAGGGAGCCCAATGCAGGGCTCAATCCCAGGGGCCTGGGATCATGACCTGAGCTGAAGGCAGCCGCTTAACCAACTGAGCCACCCAAGCACCCCAAGCTTGACATTCTTAATACAAATCCTGATCTGATTTGTATGTACCCTCACTTGGAATCTGGGGGCCTCCATACTTAATCTGTTTTATGAGGAGATCATTGTGCCTGTTATGCTCTAGTAGAACAATTTTGTCAGTGAGTTTAAATATTTTTCTTTGTTAGATACACAACAATAACATATTTTTTCAATATCTTTATCTGTTAGCAAGTTGTTGATATCAGAGAGGAGATGCCAGAGCAAACAGCCAAAAGGATGTTGAGCCTTCTTGGTATCCTTAAATATAAACCTCCAGGAAATGCCACAGACATGTAAGAATTTGATCACATGTTGCTTTCTTAAAGCTGTGCTTGAATATCTAAACTTTCATGGGCTACACTCAATTTTTCTAGGCAGTACCTGGTCTCTGTGTCAATGGCTTTAGTACGTCACTGAGTTTCAAAATAATCTTGAACTTTTAATATTATTTTGTCATGTCAAAGTCTTACGTGGGTCACTTTTCTCCCCAATCAAAAAACAAACAAACAAACCCAAAAAACAGGCAAATTCCACTATTCCATTTTATCATTTATCATTTATCTGCCATCCTAGATAAAAATAATTACTTAAACTTGCCCAGTAAATGAAGTATTAAGGCAGACTACCAATTAATGGTTCCAGTACAACCTTCCCCTATAGTCCAGTGATATATTCCAGGCCTAATTTTATGTTTATTGTTGATATACAGAATGACTTTAGAATAGCCTTGGTTTTTTTTTTTTTTTTTAATAGTCATGGAAAGCCATCAAGAAATTGTAAATTAGTATTTGAGCTTTTATCTCTTTTCAAGGTTTGTTTGTTATAAGCCAGGGGTGGAGGATGATCACCTGCTTGTGTTTATTTTCTTTTTATAGGAGTACCTTTCGTCAGGGTCTGGTGATTGGAAGTAAACCCGTAATTTATCCAGTACTCCACTGGCTTCTTCAGAGGACTAATGAACTGAAGAAAAGAGCATATTTAGCTCGTTTTTTAATAAAACTTGAGGTACCTAGTGAGTTTCTTCAGGATGAAACTGTGGCTGATACCAATAAACAGGTACACAATACACAAATGGTATTTTTAAACTATCTGTAGATGTCACGGTGCACATGTTCAAATAGCTGTTAATCTCTCTTTAACTTATTTGCTTCTCTTCATTTCCAGGTGCCACTGAAAGGTAAAATGGCTAATAATGTTCAACTGTAATCATGTATGAAAATACCGACTTTTGCACACAAATACCATTTCAGTGATAGATAGAAGAAATCCTGAAATTAGGATTTTAGAATAATTTATTACTTAGGAAATGTGGGTAGAGAGGATTTTAGGTGGGAATGCAGAGCACTTTGCTGATCAGTTAGATGATTATACAATTTGTCATCCAAATCAGAGAGAAAGGGACTATCGTAATAATTACATGAAGGCAAAAGTATAAATTGACACTATTCCAGACAAATCAGGACCTGTGAGCCCCTGAGAGGATTTTGTACAGGCAGAGAAGCTAGGCTTGATATCTCAAAGGACTTCCCAGTCAGGCAGAAGATAGGGAAAGGACCAGGAGTTTGAAATTTCAGTGTACTTTTCTTCTAGAGTTTTAGGGTGATACTGAGTTCTGGCCTTATAGTCTTAAAGCTCTTGACTACTTTTGGGGTGCCTTGGTGGCTCAGTAGGTTAAGCCTCTGACTCTAGGTTTGGCTCAGGTCACTATCTCAGTGTCCTGAGGTCAGGCTTATGCTCAGCCTGGAGCCTGCTTGAGATTCTCTCCCTTTCCCACTCCCGCCACCTCTGTTCCCTCCCCTCCCTACTCACAAGTGTGTATTTTTTTAAAAGTGCCTGTGTTTAGCCCTCTTTGCTTTTATTCTTGCTATATGCATAGACTGATTGTGCAGTTTGTTGTGAATAGTTTATTGCTCTATCCCAATAGATTATGAGGTCTGTGAAGACAGGTATCATGCCTTATCCATCTGCGTTTTCCTCCAGGGTTTTGTAGAGTTGTTTCTATACAGTATGTGCTTAAAATTGGGATTGAATCAGAACAATCAAAACTAAGTGTTTTTTCATCCGTTTATTTTGTTATTTTGGGTAACCATGGCAGTTAGTCAAAACAGAGTCAATATTGATCTCTTAAGACATTTTGGGTGTTGAAAGATTAATGTAAATAATCATATCAAATGTTATAGTAGAGAATCACGTGGGAGATGTCATGGGAGAATTACAACAGAATGGGATGTCATGGGAGAATTACAACAGAAGGAGAGTACCCCAACTCCTACATTTGAAGGCTTTACATAATGTAGAAAATAGAGAAGTGTAAATGTGAAATATTTTCTCCTTCCTACACTCCCCCATCAATCAACTTGATAAAAACTAATTCCTCTGGAGGAAGTTTATTAATAGCTTTTACTAAATATGCACAAATAGTAGAAGAATTAATGATAAAGACATGTTTATTCTTGAAACGTGTGAGATGTAAATCTAAAATGACTTATACATTTAGCCAGTCATTTAGCACAGAACCTAATAAAAAATGCATGTTGTCTTCCTGAATGAGGAGTTCTAGAATAAATCCTGTCAGTGCTCACAAAAAGTACTATTTTTAAAGAATTTTGGGTAAGAGTTGTGATTTTTTTCATTCATTCAGCTACTTTTTATTGAATATATCAGTGATGCTAGGCTCCAGGGATACTAAATTGCACTGGGTAATAGGATTCTTGTCCTCTTGACTCTTGCTGTCTAATGGAGGAAGGCAGACAAGTAACTAGGCAATTATAATTTTACATGATTTTTATTCTGATATCATGACACTCTGATGTAGAATAAGTATAGGACTAGAGAAGTCTTCTCTGAGGATGGTGGTATCTATGCTGAGACCTGACAGATGAACTGAAATTATCCAGGTAATGGATGAGGAAGTCATAGAGTATTCTCAGAGGTAATAGGCTTTGTAAACTGGATGTGAGAGCATAGAGTATTCCAAGGATTGAAAGATCACCATAGCTGGAGTATAGAATGTGAGTTAGGGAAGTAACCAGAGAGGAAGATGGAGAAGTACTTAATGACCAGATTATACACACCCACTTTTTTTGTGTCTTATATAAATGTTTCAGGATGTATTTTTAATGCTGTTATATAGTGATTTAAGTAATCACTATGAGTTAATTGATAACCTGATGAAGAAAAGTCTACTGGATCTAGTCATTAGTTTATAATTTTTTAATTTGTCTTTTAGTATGAAGAGCTAATGGAAGCCTTTAAAACTTTGCATAAAGAATGTGAGCAACTTAAGACATCTGGATTTTCTACAGCAGAAATAAGAAGGGTAAAGCAAAGAAAATATAGTAACAATATCTTTTTTTAGATTTGAATATTAGTTTTTCCAGCTTGTTTTGTTAATTCAGTATGAGTCTTAAAATTGTATGGGAATTAGTGATAGCAAGTGACAGATTTTCTTTTGTCTAAACTTTGCTCTTTCTTTACTGAAGAAATTAATGATACCAAGGTAAATTCACAATATGTTCTTATGTACGATATAGATTCCTAACATGGATTTTAAAAAAGATTACATTGTGGGTCTTTTTCTCTCTCTCTCTCTCTCTATATATATATATGTAGTAAAGACTATCTATTACATAAAGTATAAAGTATATATCATTCATATATATATATATATATATATATATATATATATATATATATAATAGAAAATAGAGATGAGAACAAAGAAGATTAAAATCATCCAATTGCGGGACGCCTGGGTGGCTCAGTTGGTTGGGCAGCTGCCTTCGGCTCGGGTCGTGATCCCGGCATCCTGGGATCGAGTCCCACATGGGGCTCCTTGCTCATCGGGGAGCCTGCTTCTCCCTCTGCCTCTGCCTGCCATTCTGTCTGCCTGTGCTTGCTCTCTCTCCCTCTCTCTCTCTGACAAATAAATAAATAAAATCTTTAAAAAAAAAAAATCATCCAATTGCTATCCATTCAGGCTTTGCATGTATATTTATATTGGTAGGTATTTGAGATCATACTATATACGTAGTTATTTGTATCTTTCATTTTTAATAATTGCATTGTGAATATATTCACATTGTTATCTTTCTAAGTATGATTTTTTTTTTTCTTTAGAGAGGGAATGGGGGCAGGAGCAGAGGGAGAGAGAGAATCTTAAGTAGGTTCCATGCCAGCTCAGCCCAACATGGAGCTTGATCTCAGAACCCTGAGATAATGACCTGAGCAAAAATCAAGAGTTGAATGCTTTACCCACTGAGCCACCTAAGCACCCCCTAAATATGATTTTTTTTTAAATTTTGGGGGTGGTGAGGCAGAGGAAGAAGAAGAGAGAGAATCTCAAGCAGGCTCCACACCTAGCTCGGAGCCCAACATGGTGCTTGATCTTATGACCCTGAGATCATGACCTGAGCCAAAATCAAAAGTCAGCTGCTTAACCTGCTGAGCCATCCCGATGCCCCTAAATATGAGTTTTAATTACTAAATGATTTTCCATAGTATGCATAGGTTAACCATTTTTGTTTTTTTATTTTATTTTTTGCTATTATATAATGCTATGATCATGATTATCATATACATAAATTTATTTGGGGGTATCTGTAATTGTTTCCTTAGGATAAATTTGTAAAAATTAATATTTTTGACACATGTTACTTAATGATCTCCAAAAAAATTTTAACATTTTCACCAGGCATATAGCTTCTTTCCCTAAACATATGCTAATTTCACTTTCATGAATTTTGTATTTTTAGAATTCCTGAGTTATTCCATGCCATCTTTATTTTCTTAATCAGGAAACAATAGAAGTTGCTTCCTTAGGGAGGCCTTCCCCGATTCCCTAGATGCATTAGTTTTGCCCAGTTCTTTTTGTTTCCTAATACTCATCATACTTATAATTACTTTAATGTCTGTCTTCCCAGCTTTTTTTTTTTTTCTCATTAAACTTTTGTTTTAATGGGTCATTCCCAACTATCTTTATGAGGGCAAGGGCCATGGTCCATCTTGTTCATCACTGTATCCCTAGTGTCTTTTGCAGTACTATGCACATAGTAGGTTCTCAATAAGAATTTGTTGAGTGGGGGCACCTGGGTGGCTCAGTGGGTTAAAGCCTCTGCCTTCGGCTCAGGTCATGATCCCAGTGTCCTGCGATCGAGCCCTGCATCAGGCTTTCTGCTCAGCGGGGAGTCTGCATCCTCCTCTCTCTCTCTGCCTGCCTCTCTGCCTACTTGTGATCTCTGTCAAATAAATAAATAAAATCTTTTAAAAAAAAAAAGAATTTGTTGAGTGTATCAGGAAAGAAAGATAAGCTCACTGTTAGTGGGGAGAAAGACCCATAAATAGGATACTTATGGTATGAAAGAAGAGTGATGGACATTCATCCACTGTTCCTCTGTTATGTCATGTGAGTAAACTGAAATGATGAAATGACCAAGAGTCTAATCATTTTATTTTCATTATTGCCAAAGTATTCTTGAACATGTTCTTTTTAGAAAATATAAGCAAGAAATAGAAAATAATTCACTCATAATCCCACACTGTAGAGATAAGTACTGTTGACATTTTAGTGAATATATTTAAATCTTTTCCTTGTATTGTGCTATATATAAATGTTGTAACCTTCATCTTTCAGGTAATGTCATACCATGAGTTTTTCTGTTATTAAACATTCTTCTGCATAATTTATAATGACTTTCATGGTATTGTGCTATAGTTTATTTAATAATTCTCAGACATTTGGTAATTTACACATTTTAGATATGACTAACATCTGTGAGACTCCTCGTAGAGAAGTCTTTGACCTTCCATGTATATTTTATTAGGACAAATTCCCAGACATGATATTACCAGACTTGATGGTATATATATATATGGAATACACCACATGGTATATATGGTGTGTGTGTATGTGTACATATATGTATGTTTAAGACTTTTGATATTGTTCTTCCGTACCATGCCACCAGTGGTGAGTAAGAGTGCCTAGTTCCTCAGATCCTAACAATACTGACTACTATGTATATTTTTCTCTTTAGTTTACTGTGATAGTTAGGCTATTAGTTTAAGTTTAGGAAGGATTTTTTGTTTTCACTAGAAAATATTATGGGGCTGATTAAAAGGAAGGCGGTTTATTTTTGAAGTCTTTAGTTTTAGGAAGGGAATTGGTTAATTGGCAAAACCAGACACAAATTTTTGTCTTGAAAACACCATAGCTTTAAAAATAATTTTGATGGGAATTGGCAGAATATATAGTTTGATATTTAACAGAACAGATGGCATGTCAGCCGCTGTTGCTCATGGTTTTAGACCTGTACACTTTCCATTGTAGAAGACTTTTGAAAAACTGTGTGCCCATATTTGGAATCAGAACACTAATGTGCTGGTTGGCAGCTTTACCTTGCTACGTTATAACCTGTTTTGGTTGCTTTTCTAAATGAACACTAAGCTGCCAAATAAATTATCCTGCATAAAGAACCCTAGGGGGACATAAAAATAAAATAAAACCCTTTATCCAAAAGAGGATCTTTGTTCCTTAACGATCTGGTTTTAAGTAGGAAAATGGCTGATGCACAATCATATGAAAATTTTATTTGAATCTACAAAAAATGTTTTTTTCTTATAATGTCTCCTTGACTACTTTTTAGGATATCAGTGCCATGGAGGAAGAAAAGGATCAGCTCATTAAGAGAGTTGAACGTTTGAAGAAAAGGGTAAGGCAAGACTTAGCCCTGTAAGACTTTGGCCCCAAGTGCAAAGGACTTGCAAAGATTTAGGAATGGTAATAAGGATTAAGCAAGGCATGGGTGTACATCTGAGGATCGGCTCAAATAACATTGACAGAAGGGGAATCTCCCTAGGCAGTAGCCCAGAACTTTGAGAGACCTGGAGTCTGGAACTTTACTGTCATCTCTAGGGAGTACTGTTTGCCAAAAAGAAATGATAAGTGGATGTCTGAGTCACATGACATGCTAATTTCTTCCTTGAACTTGACAGTAACATGTACTACTTATTCCCTTACTGTAGGTGGAGACAGTTCAGAATCATCAACGGATGCTTAAAATAGCAAGGCAACTTCGAGTTGAAAAAGAGAGAGAAGAATTTCTTGCACAACAGAAACAGGAACAAAAGAATCAGGTATCCTCATAAAAGTTTATATTCTCATAATGAAAGAAATAGTTCCTTTTGATCGTTCAAATGTAAAGAAAAAAGAATTCTATAATTGTAGAAGTTTGTTTACATGATGGAATACTCTTAAGAGGATTTTGTGGCACCAACAGCAGTAATACTATTTTTGGGGTTCTGTACCCAGTTTGTATCTCTATACTACCTTTTGGCCTGTGCTTAACTCCTGTTGACCCAACATTACAGAGCATTCATTGTAATGGTAAGCATTAAGATTAACTGCTCATAAAACTCATAGGCTGGGTTAAGCCTCTGCCTTCGGCTCAGGTCGTGATCCACGTCCTGGGATCGAGCCCCAAATCAGGCTCCCTGCATGGCGGAGAGCCTGCTTCTTCCTCTCCTTCGGCTTGCTCCCCCTGCGTGTGCTTGTTCTTTCTGTCAAATGAATAAATAAAATCTTAAAAAAAAAAAAATTATAGCATCTCTAAAGAGTGTCCTCAGATTCTGGGGCTATAAGAATATCTATTTTTTATTCTGCTGATCACAGTATCCACTACAGTTTATTCCCGTGGCAAGTAAGCAAATCATGAAAAGGCTCAAAAACAACCATACTCCACATTTTTAGACTTTGCCTTAAGGCAAAAATAATTTGGCTAGGAAGGATTACTTCTATTTTATTAAAAATCTATCTTAAAACTGAGTAGGCATATACATTAAAAATATACTTCAAATCAGCTCCATTTCCTATTCAATAAGATGTTTGACTCTTTTGGAACTTGACTTGGCATCGTGGTGCTTCCACTGCGCCAGTAAGCTGCATTGCTTGGGCCCTGAATGGTACTGAATGGTACATCAGGGTCTTATTCTAGGACATCATTTGTGAGAATGCTAATATTTCTTAGAATTAAGAAAACGAGGTTAGGGGCACTTGGCTGGCTCAGTTGGTGGAGTGTGCAGCTTTTGATCTCCAGATTTTGAGTTCAAGCCACACATTGAGTGTAGAGACTACTTAAAAAGAAAAAAAGAAGAAAAAAAAAGAAAACCATGTTATAACAAGAAAAGCCTGGTGTGTATATTTCTTTACCAAGTATTTTTCCTTAATTACTAAGTACAACCAATAACTAAAGATTAACTTTCTGAAAGCTTTTTTTTAAAAAAAGCTTTACATGAAAAAGTATTGAGAAAACCAGTTACATTTTGGGCTCAACACAGTAATTTTCTTAGTTCTTATTATTTGTTCTTTTAACATCACAAGAATTGTGTGGAACTTGTATTTTTCTTTGCTTGTCTATGTGAGTGGTAGGTTTCAATAGACTAAGCAAATAATGGATCTATTTATATTTTAAAGCTATTTCATGCAGTGCAGAGACTGCAAAGAGTACAAAATCAGCTGAAAAGTATGCGCCATGCAGCAGCAGATGCAAAGCCTGAAAGTAAGTGGAAACTATTATATGATACAGATGATCAGAGAATATTAGTTTAAGTCAGTAGTTTTCTTTAAAGCAGTCAACTCATGGGAATTAATTGTCTAGTGATAGCTAAGCATTTTAGAGTGTCATTTCCTAGTTAATGTATGAGAGCTCTGTTGAAGACATCCTTTAGTTTTTACCTGGGATTTTATACTTCCCATTCACTGTTTGGTCAGAGAGTGAAGGGCGTGAAAACCACCATGGACGGAGGCTTTCTGGTGAAGGAGCATATGAAACACTTAAGATAGATGCTAGCAAAAAGATGGGTGGAGAATAATTGTTTTAGAGCCTGGGCTATAAAAAAAAAAAGAGTAAAATGTTGGACCCTTAAAGCTGAGTGATTTTTCATATATTGGGTTGTGCTGATGACATGGGTATCCCTGGCTCTGTTGTCACATTAGCTTTACTTAGAAGATAAATTATTGTAATATTTCCAGATTACACCACCAAACCCATCCTAGGTATTTTTAAAGTTTTTTTTGTTCATCAGAAGGGAGACCACGTAAACTGGAAAAGCAGTGGAAAGCTTTCATTGGTACTGGAGAAATATTTCAGTATAAAAATCTAACTATTCAAGGGTTAATTCATCTTTCTGTAGTATTATATGAAATATTATACTCTAAGCTGTAAGTCTTAGAATAAAAAAGACAGACCGTAACAAGTGTTGGCGACAGTGTGGAGAAAATGGGACTCTCATATGTTGCTGGTGGGGGGTATAAAATGTGTGACTGCTTTTGAAAAACATATCTGGCAGTTCCCCAGAATGTTAAACAGAGTTACCATGACCCAGCAGTTTCATTCCTAGGTATCTACCCAAGGGAATTGAAAACTTGTGTCCACACAAAAATTTTTACACTAATGTCCACAACAGCCTTATTCATAATAGCCAAAAGGTGAAAACAACCCAAATGTCCCTAAACTGTTGAGTGAGTAAATAAAATGTGCTGTATCTGCACAATGGAATGCAAAGGCATGAAGTACCGATACATACTACATGTATGAACCTCAAAAACATGTTATGTGAAAGAAATTAGTCACAAAAGACCACATATTATAAGATTCCATCTGTATGAAATGTCCAGAATAGGCAAATCTAGAGAGATAAAATCAAACTAGTGATTACCTGGGAGTAGGGAGTTATAGGAGAACACAGCTGTGTGTATGTGTGGTGTGGGGAGGAAGGGAATGCTAATTAGCATAGAGCTGCTTTCCGAGCAGATAAAAATGTTCTAAAATTGATTGCGGTGAATTTACTAAAAACCATTGAATTTACTAAAAACCATTGAATTATACACTTTTCTATGGCATGTAATGTATATCTCAATAAAGTTCTTGGAAGAGATAATACAGTATTTCCTTAATTCTAGACACTTATTCTTTCCCACTTTAATTGTTTTTGCCTTTGGGATACATCTTACATTTTACATACACATTTACCATGGTATTTATTACTTTATCAGTGGCATCTCAGCACCAAGGAAATATGGTATATTTAATTAATATTTGAAAAACCAGTGTAGTGTTGCCTACAAAGTACATGGTTAGTACTTGTTAATTTGCGGCTTTCTGTAGACTTTCTTACACCTCTTAGTCTTACAATTTAGATTCAAGCAATACCTGGAAGTTGCCAGGCGTTTAGTTGTTGGGGTCATTTCATTCTTCATTCACTAAGTTTTCACTTTTTAGGAGAATGTTAATTTTTAGAACAAAGAAAATACTTTTTTTTATGATTCTTTTTCTCCTTAGTATAATCTGTATCTTTTTAGCATATGTTCTTTGGATTTGATGTAGGTTCCTTCACAATTTACTGCAATAAAGTAAGGTAAATCTTCAGAAGAAACCCATTATATATAGTCATTTAAAAATTAATATCAACAAGTAATTTGTATAGGCCTACTCTTACTAAGAAAGTATTAGAACTTACCATTAATAGTGAATTTTTTTAAATGAAGTAATGTGTATAAGAATGGGAAGATTTGGTATGCAGAAAAACAATTAGTTAATCAGTACAGTTTAATACAATTTAAAATGTTCACCTGAAAATGTGTTTCTGTAGTATCTGTTATCCTCAATCTTATTAGGTTAGATATTTCTTGCTATTATGTTTTAATTCTGACAACTAAACAAAATATCCAAAGATGTTTATAGGTTTAGCAACATTTCATTTTTTTATTTGAATTGTTAGTCTTTTATTTTTCTTTGGCTTTCTAAGCTAAAGAAAAATTGTTTGGGCCAGGAAATACGTAATGATTCACTTAGTAATAAAATTCACAAATAAAATTGTGTTTTATGCATCTCTTGAAATGTTGGTATAACATTAATATAAGTAATATTGCTGCTAAAAAATAAAATCAGTCGCATTGTTAAGTACTAATAGAAATAATTGGCTCAAACCTACAGTGCATTAATTCAGTATTTGTTGAACATCTACTACATGTCAGGAACTGTGCCGGGTGCTAGGAATAGAAAGAAAAGAGACGAGGTTCTCGCAGTTTAATACAGAACGACAGGCAGTGAACAGCGATCGTGTGGCTTTACAAATTTGCTGATGGCGCTCAGCACAGGATCCTGTGAGAACAAAGAGGCAAAGCTCCAAACCCCATCACAGACTCAAATGGCTTCCTGGATGAGGTGGCCCCCGAGTTAAATTCACGTTGGAAAGCAAAGGAGTAGAAGACATTCCGTGCCAAGGCACAGTGACCTGAGAGAACATACATAGAGGAGATGAAGGAGAGAGAGGGAAAAGGGTAGGCTCCTTCTGACTGCTTGTCTTTGAAAAGGAGGCAAGAGAGGGAGGGAGCGTGCAAATGAATGAGGAAGACAGTGCCCTGCCTAGACAGTGAGAGGGTAGTAGCGTGGGGTGATTGTGTGCTGCGGAAGAGAGTCAGTCAGACAATCGGAGACTGAAGATCTAGGAGGAAAAGGTGAGAAGCGATGGCTGCCTTTCCCGTGTGCCTTGCGCTGAATGTTCCGCAGCAGTTGTCGGCATTATCTGAATCTGACTCAGCGCAACCCCAGACTAGTCACCGAGTCATAATTGGTCTATTTCCAGGCCCTCGCATGCTAAATTATACACAACAGGCCTTCAGTAAATGGTCTGTTAAGTAGTTAGGAGGTAGGAGTAGAGACCAAATCCCTGGATAGGAACAGAATGATCATTTCCACAGATAGGAGGGGAGTTAAAGTAAGAAAAAAAGGGTTGAAAGCATAAAAATAAGATATTACGTATGCAATATATGTTCTTTGGGGGTGGACAGGGTGTGGGGAGCAGCAAGTAAAGGAGTTCTTGCTTTGTTGATATCTTTCTGGAAGACAGTCTTAAGGGTTGTATTCAGCAGCCTGGGAAGAGAGTAGATGAAGTATGTTTAATTGCTCCAGGTATTTCCTTTAAGAAGGTCTATCTAAAATTTTTAGCGAAAAATGACTTATGGAAAGTTTCCATTTATATAAATAAAAATTATTTTTAGTGTAGGAATGTGCTTTGTATTTTTTCAGAGTAACAGCCATATTATAAAACACTCATGGAAGTTAATTCATCTTCATACTCTACACTTTCATGAGATTTATTATATAAAAGAAGCTACTCATTAAACTGTAGTAAGGCCAGTGAGATGTTTCCAGAGGGTTTTTAATCAAAAGTTTGCTGTGATCTTAGTAACTTTATATTTAATTTCACCAGGATTTTGAAAGATAATTTTTTAAAATCTACATAGAACATATGACTACTTTACAAGGTCTTAAGTTAAAACTTTTTTTTTTTAAAGATTTTATTTAATTATTTGTCAGAGAGAGAGAGGGAGAGAGAGCAAGCACAGGCAGACAGAATGGCAGGCAGAGGCAGAGGGAGAAGCAGGCTCCCTGATGAGCAAGGAGCCCGATGCGGGACTCGATCCCAGGACGCCGGGATCATGACCCGAGCCGAAGGCAGCTGCTTAACCAACTGAGCCACCCAGGCGTCCCTTAAGTTAAAACTTTTAAGAGAAGATTTTAAAATGTAAGAGAAACCCTGTGTTTACATTTTTTAACATTTGTACTGAGGTAAAATGGACATATAATAAACAGCATGTATTTGAGGTGTACATCTGATAAATTTTGACATAATGTACAGACTGATAAAGCCCAGAGCCTTAAGATAATAAATGCGTCCATCACCCCCAAATATTTTCTTGTGTCCTTTGTGATAGCTCGTTTTTTCCCTTTTCTGTCCCTCTATCTATTCCCAGGCAACCACTGATCTCCTTTTTGTCAATATAGATGAATTTGTATTTTCTAAAATTTGAATCTCTCTTATTTTTTAAAGATTTATATTTCTTTATTAGAGAGAGAATGTGAGAGTATGAGGGGTGAGAGAGAGCCAAGGAGAAGGAGAGAGGCAGACTCCCTGCTAAGGGAGAAGCCTGACCATGGGCTTGATCTCACCACCCTGAGATCATGACCTGAGCCAAAATCGAGTCAAATGCTCAAATGAGCAACCCAAGTGTCCCAAATCTTTCTTTTATCTAGGGAAAATAACATTTAAGACTTTTAAATCTTTAAAAACATTTAAGTTTGATTCTTTTTTTTTTTTTAAGATTTTATTTATTTATTTGTCAGAGAGAGAGAGGGAGAGTGAGCAAGCACAGGCAGACAGAATGGCAGGCAGAGGCAGAGGGAGAAGCAGGCTCCCTGATGAGCAAGCAGCCCGATGTCGGACTCGATTCCAGGACGCCGGGATCATGACCTGAGCCGAAGGCAGCTGCTCAACCAACTGAGCCACCCAGGTGTCCCTTAAGTTTGATTCTTTACATCTCTGATTACGTGTAGTTTAAGAACTTAAAAGATGGAAGAACTAGGCACCTAATAGCCAAAGACGCCAGGATATAGATTTAATCGGAAACCACATAGGAATGGCTGCCTAATTATAGTCTGAGTCGTTAAACACTTTCTCTTCCCTCCCTTTCCCCAGTTCCTAAAAAAGGGGGGAAATTGTAGGGATGAATAGAAAACTTGTGATTTTGCCATTAATAAATTTTTACATGTTAATATATGGTTAGCACAACAGAACTAAAAATAATGTTAAGGCTTTGGGCCAAACTTATTACGCAGTCTACCTACGTAGATTACATAAACCGGAAATCCAGTGTTTTAAAAAGTCAAGCCAGAATTTGTAAATGTGTAATGGAAAGATCTGAAATAAACTTTTTAAAGCTCTTTAGGCTGAGAATTTATAACAAAACCATTATTCACCGAAAATCTGTGTGTGTATATATTTATGTACTCTACCAAAATAAGAAAACTTATTAAATATTTAAAGTATAATTTAAGTTACCACTTACCATAAGCTAATATTTTACAATATCAAAACTACCAAACACAGAAAGCCAAAAATGTTTATGAATGTAGATAATTTCTTTTTTTTTTTTTTTTGCATTTTAACTTGTATTTTAGTAATGTTTTCATTGGTTTGAAACTGACAAAGTATGATGTATTACCATTTATGAAGTAATAGAATAGAAATAAATTGCACCAGAAGTATTGTGAAAGGAGGAGAGTAAATGGCCACTTATAAAAGAAGGAATCTGGGTGAAATTTCTTGTGTGTTGCCATTTGTGTTACGGACTGCTTAAATACTTCGAAGGCAAAATACGACCCAAAAGAGACCTTGCTCTGCAGATGTTATTTTTGTTTGTTGCGAAGTATAAAAAGAATTAGGTAGTAATTTGGAAAGATCATAATATTACTTTTTCTATAATTATGTTAACGTCATTCTGTGTAGATTGTCCTCTGTTATCATTCTAATTAACATCAAACGATTTCAGTGGGATTTCAATGGTCGGGGCTCCTGGCTGGCTTGTTTGGAGGATTGTGTGACTCTTGATCTTGGGGTTGTGAGTTTGAGCCCCATGTTGGATGTAGAGGTTACTTTTTAAAAATTGGAAAAAAATTTCAATGGTCAATTTTTAATTATATAGATTGCTTTTGATACATATGCCTATTATTCAGGTCTTTGATTTTAAAGTGTACAAAGTATCACTATACCAACTCTCTTGGGCTGAATATTTTATTTTTAAAGGTTTAATGAAGAGGCTAGAGGAGGAGATAAAATTTAATTCTTATATGGTTTCTGAAAAATTTCCTAAAGAATTAGAAAGCAAGAAAAAAGAATTGCATTTTCTACAAAAAGTGGTTTCAGAGCCTGCCATGGGCCAGTCTGATCTTCTTGAGCTTGAATCTAAAGTAAGTGACAGTCATCTTCTTTTTATAGATCCCAATTTTATCTCATCCCCAGTCCTGTGAAAATTATATGAACTGCTTTCTGTAGTGTCCTACTCTTGACTCAAGTTAACCTGTGCTGAGTTGACAGCTTTATGAAGAGTTCTTTTGAGCAATTGTAGCTTGTAATGCTGTTACTTAAATCCACATGATGTTATAAAGACTTAGTCAACTGATTAGGAAACTAAGTAACTTGAATATGTAAATTAAAGTGTTTGACTTATAGGTTTATGTATTCATAATATAATCATTTAGATGGTAAATTTTTAAAATATTTTGCATAAATCATTAATTTTTATTTCCAAAAATAATAATATAGCAATTTTATATTTAAAGCTAAAATATTTGTATTAGCCTTTTATGCTTGCTTTGGAATTACTGAACTTTTTTGTAATGCTTATTGAAACCTGGTTTTATGTTATAACATTTTTGTTCTATAGAAATAAAGAACCAATCAGGTGTGTATTCTTAAAAAATAACAAATATGACAATTAATTTGATGATTTTGATTTGCTAATCCTTTAATGTGCTTAATAGCCACTATAATTAAATACATAATTCTAACTACTTTATTCTTTTAATTTTCTTATAGAAATTACATGTCCAAGTGTGATTTGGCTCAATTTTAATGTCATGGAACTAAAGGGAGAACTCTAGTCTTTTCAAAGGATAGGTATACTGAAAGCCAGGGAGGTTTTTTTTTTTTTTTTAATTACTTGAGGGACTGTATGCTTCTGTTGGCTTTATTCACTTCTATTTTATTACCTTTGATAAAGGAGTAATGAGTAGCATAAATGACAACTATCATCAAATCACAGATCATAGAAGGGTTTTTAGATGTCATCATGTCAACTCTCAGTTGGGTTCATGAATTCCTTGCACTAAATCCCTTGGGAATGTTAGTCTGGATTTGCTTTATCGCTTGCAGTGACTTGAAAGTCACAAGTTAGGTAAGGGGTAATTTCAGATTTGTAGAAATTGTCTTTCTGACAATAATGTATAAATATTTCATGTAGAATTTTTTAGTATAATTTAAACATGAATGGCTATATAAATCATCAACATGTTTAAATATATATTATGAACTGTGAAATGTAAATTGTTTCTAAAAATAATCATAACAACCCACTTATAACATTAACGAACCTGTTCCTTCCATGAAATCACAGATGGTAAGAACAGTAAATTCAAAGCTTGTTTGGCCAAATGTCCCTTAGTTATCAAAGGAAGAGTTTTAACTTTCTTTACTTTCATACTGTTTTAGATAAATGAAATAAACGCACAGATCAATCAGCTAATTGAAAAGAAAATGATGAGAAATGAGCCAATTGAAGGCAAACTCTCACTATATAGGCAACAGGTGAGACCACTGTTTTGCCCCTCGTATTTAGATCTTTTATCTTTTGGTGAACATCTTTGTAAAAATCCCGGGCTGTGTTGTGGATAGTCTTAGAGTAAGAAGGAAGTAAAGAATAAATATTTTTCTGTTATTGCTAATCTCCAGATTATAACAAAAAATTTGTGGAAAAGCCACAAAACATGCATGTTCAAGTTTGAAATTCAATACACCTGATCATGCTTAGTTACCTTACCGTCTGCCAGCTGTGGTAATAGAGCTCTTTGTGTTTTTATCTCTTGGGTGTGAAACTTGATTTTTTTAAATGAAAACTTACCTCAAGTGGTATAAAATCAAAATATTTGTAATCTTTAATGAATTAAAGGCAATATACCTTTTCAGGTTTCAAGATAGTTTGCAAGTGTAGAATAAGTTAAATTTTAGTGCCTAGGCATTTAATCCACAACTCTAAGATTGGGTATAAATGTTGTTCTGTATTTCTAGACAAACGCTTCAAATGAAAGCCATAGATTACCTGAAAACAACCCAGTCAGGAGTTTAGTGTGATGAGCATTCTGTAACCTCACAAAATATTGAGCTACATAACAAAGCATTTTTCACAGATGCTAAATTTTCTTTTTTAGATGCTAAAATTTTTAAAAACCTTTTTATACTGGAGAATTTAAACTGTATACAAAGGTAGAGAAAATAGGTCAGTAAACCCTGTGACTCAGGCTATAACAATCATGGCCATTCTTGTTTCACTATACCCCCAGACCAATAATAATAATCTAGTTATTTTAAAGCAAATCTTAGACTTTATATCATTTCACCTATAAATATTTCAGAATGTATGTCTAAAAAATAAAGGCTTAAAAATCTTAACAGCATACTACATCTGAAAAATGTCATAATTCCTTGATATTGGCAAATATCCAGTGTTCATATTTCCTGGATTTTCTTTCTTCCTTCCTTCCTTCCTTCGTTCCTACCTTTTCTTCCTTCCTTCCTTCCTTCTTTTGTTGCTTTGTTTTAATTGAGATACTTTCAGGATTCATACACTGCATTTCATTGATACGTTTAAGTATCTTTTAATTTGTAGATTCTCTGTGCCGCTTATTTATCTATCTGTTTTCTTGCAGTTAATTTATTTGAAGAAACTTGTTTATCCTTTAATAGTGTCCTGTTGATACCATTGATTCCTTTCTTTGTTTATTAGCGGGATTGCCTCTATAAAAGAAACCTCTCATCAACAATTTGATTAAACTGAACTATAGTTCATTTAGGAAAGACAAGCTACATACTTGATTCTTTATCAGTTTTCAAAGAGAATTGGTTTCCTCCAAGTCATTTTCATTCTCCATCAATTAGGATAGTTTTTCATTTTTTAGTTGCTTATTTACTTAATGTCATTATAAATCATTGATGTAATTCTATTTGGTAAGTTTAAGACATTTTCCTTAATGATGCTCAAATTGTCCCATTTTTGGCCACTATGAGGCTTTTCAAGTAACTTCTGATTACTTTTTAAGATTCTATTTGTCAGGCACCTGGGTGGCTCAGTGGGTTAAAGCCTCTGCCTTCAGCTCAGGTCATGATCTCAGGGTCCTGGGGTCAAGTCCCTCATCGGGCTCTCTGCTTGGCGGGGAGCCAGCTCCCCCGCCCCCCCCCCCCCCCCCCCCCGCCTGCCTCTCTGTCTATTTGTGATCTCTGTCAAAAAAAAAAAAAAAAAAGATTCTATTTGTCTTTGATAATGTCTTTGCTTTCTGGTATGATTAAGATATTTCTGTGCTCATTTTTTATATTTCCTATCCTAGGCTTGGAATTAGACTTTCTTCTATGAGTCTGATTTGCTTTAGTAGGAAATAATATTTAGAGACTGAAATCTGGGTATTAGGACTTCCCATTGCTCCTGGGTGGTCATTATTTTTAGGTCTTTTTAGTGGACAAAGCTAAGAGGTAATTTTTTTCTTCTTTCCTAACGCACACCATGAGTTCATACTTACCCTTCCAGGTCAGATTCAAGGCTTCTGGGCTTCTACTTAGCCTTATCAGTCTCATATCTTTCTTCTTATCCCACATGGGAAATTCTGGTTCTCAGTAACATGAATATAATTTAATCCATTATTTGCTTTTTTAAATTTTATTTTATTTATTTATTTGACAGACAGAGATCACAAGTAGGCAGAGAGACAGGCAGAGAGAGAGGAAGGGAAGCAGGCTCCCGGCCAAGCAGAGAGCCCAATGCGGGACTCAGTCCCAAGACCCTGGGATCATGACCTGAGCCAAAGGCAGAGGCTTTAACCCACTGAGCCACCCAGCCGCCCCTCCATTATTTGCTTTAATCCACACTTTACACACAATGTTTCAAAATAAAAGCAATAATACTGCCACCAAAAATATGATTGCTGCTGAAAATTATTTTTCAGTTTGTTTTGTCCTTAGGATATATCCCACTAAGGATAGACAAATTACTGTTTTAAAGTCACTTAGAATAGTTCTTCTATATGATTATGCCATAAATTAAACTGGATACGTACATATGTTTATTTTTAGAGATTACCTTTTAAAATGTATTTATTTATTTTAGAGAGAGAGAGAATCCACATGTGAGTAGGGAGGGGCAGAGGGAGAGGGAGAGAGAGAATCCTCAAGGAGATTCCCCACTGAGTAAAGAGCCCAACGCAGGGCTCCATCCCAGGACCCCAAGATCATGACCTGAGCTGAAATCCCGAGTTGGCCAATTAACCAACTGAGCCACCCAGGCACCCCTAGGGATTACTTTTTGGGGGAATAATTTATTTTATAATTATTTAAAATATTTACATGATTCCAAGTCAAATCTAAAAAACAAGAAATATTCGAAGAAGTTTCTAGCATCTACTTTGATGCTATCCACCATAATCTTTCCTTCCCTTACAGGTAATTTTTAAAAAATTATATACTTTATTATTCCATTAAAAATAATAGTATGTATACATAGACTCATATAACTTCTTAGAAAAGGAAGAGCATATTATACACACTTTTCCATGCTTTTTAAAAAAATTTTTTAGAAGATTTTATTTACTTATTTGGCAGAGAGAGAGAGAGGGAGAGGGAGAGAGCGAGCATAAGCAGGGGAGTAGCAGGCAGGAAGGAAGTGGGCTCCCTTCTGAGCAAGGAGCCCGTTGTGGGTGGGGCTTGATCACAGGACCCTGGGATTACGACCTGAGCTGAAGGCAGATGCTTACCCGACTGAACCACCCAGGCACCCCACTTTTCAAAATTCTTAATGATATATGCTGGTGAATAGTAAAATAATCTTTATTCCTTTTTTTTTTTTTTTTACAACTTTACTGAGGTACAATTCACATATCATGCAATTCACCTATATAAAATGCACAATTCAGTGACTTTTAGTATATTTAGAGTTGTGGAACCATCACTACATCAATTTTAGAACATTTTTATCAGCTCAAAAAGAAACCCTTTACCCATTAGCAGTCACTTCTCATTTCCTTCCCAACCCTTAGCCCTAGGCAACCAAGCTGTCTCTATAGGATTGCCTATCATGGACACTTCATACAAATGGAATCATACAATATGTGGTCCTTTGTGCTGGCGTCGTTCACTAAGCATAGTTCTTAAAGTTCACCCATGTTGTAGTGTGAGTCAGTACTTCATTCTTTTTGTTATTGAATAATATTCCATTATATGGATAGATCATATCTTGTTTATCCATTCATCAGTTGAGGGGTGTTTGGGTTATTTCTGCTTTTTGACTATTACAAATAATGCTGCTATGAACATTTTTATATGAGTGTTTGTGTGAAAATATGTTTTTTCTTGAGTATATTCCTAGGAGTAGAATTGCTGTTTCGTGTGATAATCCTGTGTTTGACATTTTGAGGAAATGTCAGACTCTTCCCAAACCAGTCCAACCAACAGTGTAGAAAGGTTTTGATTTCTCCACATCCTCGCCAACACTTCTTTTTTTTTTTTTTAAGATTTTATTTATTTATTTGACAGAGATCACAAGTAGGCAGAGAAGCAGGCAGAGAAGGAGAGAGGAGGAAGCAGGCTCGCCACCGAGCAGAGAGCCCAATGTGGGACTCGATCCCAGGACTCTGAGATCATGACCTGAGCTGAAGGCAGAGGCTTTAAGCCACTGAGCCACCCAGGTGCTCTCTCGCCAACACTTCTTGTTATCTGTTAGTTTTTTGTCATCGTCGTCGTCTTCTTCTTATTATTATTTTTTTTAACTATAGCCATCGTAGTTGGTATGCTTATTCCTGTTCACAGTCCCCACTGAGTCGTTATACCACAGTTCATGCAGACAATCACAGTTAGACATTTGGGTGGTTGCCATTCTTTTGCTATTACAAATCATGATTCAGTAAGCAGCTTTTTGTTTATGTCTTGGTGTATTTTTGCCAGTGTTACTTCAGGATGTAGTCCCAGAGTTGAGATTGCTACATCAAAGGATAAATGCATAGGTACATTTGGTAGATATTGCCAAATTCCTCTCCATAGAGGTTATAGCATTTCATGTTCCCACCTGCAGTGTAGGAGAGTGCCTGTTCCCTCACTGCCTCCCTGTAGAGTATGTTGTTGAACTTTTAGAGTTTTACCATCCTTGTAAGTGAGAAATCATATCCTGTGATAGTTTTAATTTTTGCTTATCTTACTGTAAACAAGGTTGAGCATCTTCTCACAAGAGTAATAGTCATCTTAATTTCTTTTTCTGTGAATTGCCCCGTCATGTCTATATCCTCATTTTTCTCGAGAGTTGTTGGCCTTTTTTTCTTTATATATTAGAAGTAATTACCTTGGGGACGCCTGGGCAGCTCAGTCAGTTAAGCATCCGACTCTTGATCTCAACTCAGGTCTTGATCTCAGGGTCGTGAGTTCAAGCCCCATGTTGGGCTCTATGCTGGGTGTGGAACCTACTTGAAAAAAAAAAAGAAGAAGAAGAAGAAGAAAAGAAATATTTACTCTTTGTCTGGCTTATAATTCTAACATTTTCCCCCAGTTTGGTATTTGCCTTTTTACTTTTGTTTTTTGTTTAAAGATTTTATTTATTTGACAGAGAGCACAAGTAGGCAGAGCAGCAGGCAGAGCAGTAGGCAGAGGGAGAGGGAGAAGCGGGCTCTTCACTGAGCAGGGAGCCCGATGTGGGACTCAATCCCAGGACCCTGGGATCATGGCTTGAGCCAAAGGCAGCCACTTAACCTACTGAACCACCCAGGTGCCCTGCCTTCTTACTTTGTTTACAATGTTATGGCCCCAATGGAAAAGTTCTTTATTTTTATGAAATCAAATTTAATAGTTTTTTTCTTTTATTATTTCAGGTTTTGAGACATATTTAGGAATACTTTCTCCTCTTGTAAATTATAGAGAAATTTGCCCAAGTTTTCTTTTTGGACTTCTCTGTTTAATTTTTTTTAATTTAAATCTCTGATCTATTTAGAATTTTTTTTCTAATTATGCTATTTATTGTATATAGCTATCCATTTATCCAATTGTCCTAATACCAGTTAATAAAAAGTCCACTTTTTCCCCTATGGATTTGAGATTCTGTTCTAATTTTAAAATGCTGTTGGATTTATTTCTGTATTTTCTGTTTTTACGTTGGCCTGTCTGTTCAGGTACTCATATAAACTTATTTACAGAAGCTTTATAATCTAGTTCAAATAAATGATAAAAGTAGTCACCTTCACCTCCAGTTGCTTTACTTTTTTTTTTTTTTTTTTTAAGATTTTATTTATTTTTTTGACAGAGAGAGAGATCACAAGTAGGCAAAGAGGCAGGCAGAGAGAGAGGGGGAAGCAGGTTACCTACTGAGCAGATAGCCTGATGCAGGGCTCAATCCCAGGACCCCGAGATCATGACCTGAGCTGAAGGCAGAGGCTTAACCCACTGAGCCACCCAGGCGCCCCCAGTTGCTGTATTTTTTCAGGGTTTTCCTTACAATTCTTATTTGTACGTTCTTTCAATAAGCTTTCTTATCCACTTGTCCAGCTCTTAAAAAAAATAATTTTTTAATTGTTGGGTTTGTACCTCGGAACTTACATCTTTATGATATCTGAGTCTTCCCATCTAAGAACATGTTATGTGTCTCCATTTGTTCAAGTTTATTTTTTGGTTTGTTTTGAGTGTTTGTTTTCCCTCAAAGTTTTAGACTTCTCTTGCTTACATATTTTATTTTTTGCTCTTATAATTGAGGGCTTTTCTTTCCTTATGTCTTCTTCCTCATTTATCTGTAAGTGTTATTGATTTCTTGACTTAGTTCTCCCATAGATTCTCTTGGGTGTTTTAGGTTTATAATCATATACTATGAAAATTCCAACTTTTCCTGTCAAATTCTTATGCTTCAAATTGCTTTCTCTAGTCTAATGGTATGAACAAATACCTTCAACACAATACTAAATTATAGTGGAGTTAGTGGGCATTTTTACCTTATTTCAGATTTAGTTTCTCTGTTAAATAAGATCCTGGTTTGGACTGAGTTTTATACTTATTTTTTATTATGTTAAGGAAGTATACCATTGATTCCTCTCTGGTTCTGGTACTCTTATCATTCCTTCTCTCTTTCTCTCTCTCTTTTTTTGGCTGGAATAACTCCATAGAGAGAAACATTCCTTCATCATCTGTCTTTCATTTTCTTAAAAAGATTTTATTTATTTGACAGAGAGAGATCATAAGTAGGCAGAGAGGCAGGCAGAGGGAGGGGGAAGCAGGCTCCCCACTGAGCAGAGAGCCTGATGCAGGGCTCGATCCCAGGATCCCAGGACCACGACCCGAGCCGAACGCAGAGGCCCCAACCAACTGAGCCACCCAGGCACCCCTGTCTTTCATCTTTTAAACAGAGAAAATAGACTTGTTTAAAGGGTTTGCATTAGAGATTTCCCCTCCCCTGTCAGATTTGTGTCAAGAAAATATTTGTACTATTTCACTTAAGAGGACAGTTTGGCTAATGTTTTTCTTAAACTAGTACAGCCATGGTTCATTTAAGGAAATCCCCCAAGAGTTGCTTAGTAGTATAAAGTGCTGCGTTCATGGCTAAGAACGGCCATCTGGATTGTGTAAACATTTGCCTAATTCTGATGAGTCACATGTTTGATTTTAAATCTGCACTTTATTTATTAGAATGCCCCAAATATAATCGATGTTTTAACATTTCATTTTCAAAGTATGGATATTGAATTTAGGTAAGATAATCTGTGTTGTAGTTTTGAGAATAAAACATTCTTGTTTTCTTTCAGTGAAATGGAACCTACCATGCAGAAAAATAAAAGACTTAAGGAAAGCTTCTATTTATGTACCTAGAAAGTATCTTCATTAACATTTGAGAGTTACTTGACAATATTTTAATATTTTTATTACTAATCTATTTTGTTTTTCTGCTGATACAGCCTATATTTTCAGGACTTTTATCTTCCAAATGTTTTGGGGTTGATATTTAGTATACATTGCATATTCATATTAAACAGATAACTGGTGATGATAGGTAGTAGGGCAAAGGGTACTGGTTAGGAGAAGCCAACCTGATATTGAAAATTTAGCTTGATAAAATCTAAAAAATTGATAATTTCACAAGATAATAGAAAGTGGATAGTGTGTCTAATTTTACGTTCATTTTTAATGCTCAATTAGGCATCCATCATTTCTCGTAAAAAAGAAGCCAAAGCTGAGGAACTTCAGGAAGCAAAGGAGAAGTTGGCCAACCTAGAGAGAGAGGTGTCAGTGAAGACAAATCAGACCCGTGAATTTGATGGCACTGAAGTTTTGAAGGGAGATGAAGTAAGTTGAGGTGTCTAATGGGACAAGGATATGAGTATTGTTTTTGTTTGAAAACATTCATGTTTTTTACTTTTTTGGCTTGAATATCAGTAATGGAAAGTTAATTTTATTTTATAAAACCCATTTATTTAAAACTGAAAAGTCTTTGCAATAATATTAAGATATTCTTGCTTAGAATGACATAGATCATAGTGACTTTGTGAGATAATGTTCCAGATTTTTACTCTTTAATTAACCAGACTTATATTGGATTTATTAATTATAAATATTAAGTTATAAAAGTAAAGCAAAGTGAGTAGGAACTAACAGATAAGACAAAAATTCTTATTCATTGATAAACATTCCAGAAAGGGCTGAGAAAATATCACTAAGTTACTTTGCCACTGGGACTTGTACCATTTAAATGACTTCATTGTAGATGCTTGTAAATTTTAAAAATACAACTCTATCTTGTGTTGCTATATACTTTAATTTTTGAACAATGTTTTAACAGCTGTTATTTCCTTTATCCTTCTGTCAGAGTGGTAAGATTAGTGGGACAAGTAACATTGTCATTTATATATATGGCTAAACTTAAGCACCAAAAATATAATCCCCCATCTCATTTTCATAAAATTAGCTCAAGAAAGATTGAATAAATGAAGCAAAATATCTTGTCTTTAGCACAGTGCTTTTTTTTTTTTTAAAGTGAATCAATTGATAGGTGTTATTTTAATTCCTAATCCTTGCCTGTATTTTACCACTTCTTATAGCTCATTTATTTTATATTAGCTACTTAGCTACTAGGCCTCAGCAAAAGCTACTTCAAAAAGCTGCTCACATTCAGACTTCATTTTTGTCTTTGAACAGTTACCAAATTCATACTGTTACAAAATTGGCAGTGGACCTTCACTGGCCACACACAAGTCTTGAGTTGTTCCCACGGTACCACTTTTCTCTGTGGTGTTTCTGATTGTTGCCTCCCAGTATGCTGTTAGCTTTCTGCAAAGTAGTAGATTTCAGCAGTAAGCACATGACTGAAAAATTCCTTTGGCTTTTAACATCCGCTTCCAGATTGCTTTAAGAGATGGGAATATCTTAAATGTTACTTGGAAGCCAACAGGGTGTGCTTCATGACATCCTTGCAATCTGGGGTGGGGTGGGCAGAGGTTAATTATGCAATAATTTTGTTTTATAAGAGACCATGCTACCTCCTACCATTTTTGTCTTTTCTTAAGAAAATGCTGCCCAATTGACAAGAAATACTAATTACCGTGGCCACATTTGGCATGAATAGTGCTTATAAATTCAGCATTAGATATTCCTTCTGTGCAAATGTGAGGGGAAAGAACATAGTGCCATCCTATTAGGTTTTAGTTTTGATCAATTATAGTGAATAGGAGAAGTGTCTGATGACAGAAAAAGCATACTTTTTTTTTTAAGGGGAAAGAGATAACTTTGGCAATGATAAGGTCAACTTGGTTTTTAAACAATATCTGGTCAGAAACTAGAACAAACCAAGTAAATCATTTGGCAGTTACCTAAAAGAACAGAAGGTATTGGGGAACATTAAGCATAATTTTGTAAAGAACAAATCTTGGTAGACCAGTTTATTTTCTACTTTGATGAAGTGATAGACCATATGGACAAAAGGGAGGAAGTTTGTTATACTTAAAATTATATAATATAGCTGGACTTCAGTGAGGTTTCATTTGGTATCACATGGTAATCACCAAAAAATCATGTTTTTTGCCACCCATCTGTTAACACAGTTGGTAAGAGGGTATCGAGTAGTAGCATGGCATTTAGAAAGAATAACTATACCAGGAGGCACAGATAGGAGAATGAGGAAGAGGGGGGCTAACATTAATTGAGCAGTTTTTATACGAGGCTCTGCGCTAGATGCTTTGCAAACATTTGTTTACTTCTTATATTCTTGTTATTGTTATTTACATTTTACAATTGAGTGAAGCTCAAGGAGATTATAGATGCACTTATAGGTAATAAGTGGCCAACCTGGGATCCAGGTCTTTCTCACATTCACATGTTCCTGTATGACCTTGAGCAAATCACTTCTCCATCTATAAAATGGGGTGATTGCTCTTTATTGTCATTATGAGGAACACACGAAATAATGGATGTCAAAGCTTCCAGGAAACTGGAAGGCTCAGTCAACATGTAACATCTGGCATCTGAAAGTCACCATTCCTATGAACCTCATGTTACTACATGTGTGCAAGGTGGTATAGAGGAATGGTTAAGGGCATGGGCTCTAGAATTTGGTTGTTTGAGTGCAAACCCTGGCTTTGTCATCTTACCAGATGGCTAACCTTGGGCAGCTTCGGTAACCTCTTTGTACTCAGCTGTAAAATGTGACTGTTATCACTGTATACTTCCTAGAATTATTATTGTACAGATTAAATGAGTTAATACCTGAGAAGTGCATAGAATAGCATGAGCACATGCTGAGTGTTCAGTAGTTGTTAGCTCTTGATATTTTTATATTTTTGTCAGTCACTTGAATGAAGAATTTGAAAGCTAAGAATATAGTTTACAGCTTAAAACTTGAAATTAGTATTTCCTAGAATGGGTGCAATTCAATAGAAGTAAATATGAAATAGGTTTTTTTTAATGGATAACTAATTTGCACAGACATAGAATGAGATAACACTAATGAGAGTCATTTTAGCTGCTATTCACTGAGCAGTTACTGTGTGCTCCACCTTTAAAAACATATCCTTGATAATGGTTGTGCAATGATGTGAATACACTTAATGCCACAGAACTGTACACTTAAAAATAGTTGAAAGGGTAAATTTTATGCTATGTGTGTTTAACCACAATAAAACACACATGCAATATATCCTAATTCAGCCTCTCAAAAACACCTGTGAGGTAAAAATTATCTCCATATCGTGATTGGGGAAATAGGCTTAGAGAAATTTAGGTAACTTGCCTAAAGTCACACAGTTATTGAGTTGCCGAGTAAGGATTTGAACTCAGGTCTGACAGTCACTAACTGTTAGCTTGCTAGAAGCTGTATGACAGCCATTTGTTTGGATGTAAACCTTCGTTCCTTGATTACCCATATGTGGTTATTTGATTAATCTTTTCTTGGAAAAATTTAAGAATGTGACTGTGTTAATAAGGATAAATGTGACAAATGCTATACATATAGTAATTTATATTCCTTTGTTGTTTTCTTTTTAGAGGTCAGCTAGCAGTTTTTAAAGTTGGGTATTGAAGTATGCATTTTGATGCTTCCTACCTACTACCGTTAAAGTTAATATTCCAGATGTTACATTTTATCTGAGAATTTTAGCTCTTCTGTTTGCAGATGACAAGTGCTACAGGCATTTGTTCCTCCCTAGACTTTTTCATTAGTATTCCCTGGATGTTTCTTATTAATAAAAGATGAAGTGTCTAAAAATGCTCTTCTTTTTCATTATACTTTGGTTATCATTTGAACATTTCATTTTCATTGTATTGCCTTGCTTAATTACAGCAGTAGGACAGGAATGTGTTTATCTCTTATTGTGCCAGACTTCTGACATGGGTAGGAATTTCTTGAACTGTTGAAATTATCTTCTTAGTGGTAAAGGTTTTCTTACCAGTCTAGTCTATCTTGATTTCTTTCTCTTCACACAGTATTTGGTAGGTGATAAGAAGGTTAAATTTAGAGACTCTAGGCTCTTAACATAACTAAAAATTGATGATAATGAATGTCTTTTATATCTTGAGGTTTTTTAGATTGGATTTTAGTATGTAGTAAGTATAGGGATGCCTGGGTGGCTTAGTCAGTTAAGTGACTGAGCCTTTGGCTCAGGTCATGATCCCAGGGTTTTGGAATCGAGCCCAGGATTGAGCCCCACATTGGGCTTTCTGCTCAGGGGGGAGCCTGCTTCTCCCTCTCCCTCTGCTGCTCCCCTGGCTTGTTCTCTCTCTCTCTCTCTCTCTCTCTCTCTGTCAAATTAATTAATTAATTAATTATTTAAAAACCCAAGTATAAATCTAGCTGAATCGATATTCTCAAAAGAATTTTGAATGATATTCTCAAAGAATTCTGAATGCTCTCATATGTAAGAGAAGTTACCCAGATTGCCATGGAGCTTTGTCCTTGATACCAACCTATTTATTATTCTTATCAATAATTTTAAGATTAATTGTTAATGGTTATTAGGCAGTTACAATGTGCCAGACAGCATCCTAGGCTTATTATATATGTTATCTCGTTTATTTCATTGAACAACTCTAAGAGATAGTTATGATCATTATTCCTAGTTTTTACAGATATGGGAACTGAGGCACACAGAGGATTTGGCTAACTTACCCAAGATCACATGGCTAGTAAATAGTAGTATCATGATTTGAATTGAGGTGGTCTCTCTCCAGAACCCTTAATAATTTTCGCATGACAGGAGGCTAGAAGGAATAGTCAGCCTGAGAGAGATAATAGAATTAGGGTTCAAAGTCATCTTGGGAGGCAGGAGCATTGTGCTGAAACAAACAAAATGCAATTAACAGGATAATGAACACAATGTTGTAGAATTTGAGTTTTGCCTGCCACCTCAACACACCACCCATGAATAATGCAGCATTAGAAAACAAATTATTATACTCCACTAATAGAAATGTAATATCCTATTTATGGTGAAATTATGCCTGGAATACTATTTTACATTTTTATGTTTTAAGAAGGGCATAGTCAAGGCAGAATCCAGTTGAAGGTGACCAAAATGCATGAAAAATCTGGCAATTTTCATAGAAAGAATTGACTGAGAACAAAAAAAGGCATAATAGAATTGCATTTAAATTTCAAAGGGATTATGGAGAGGATTGTGTGCATAAAAAAGAGTTCATTAAGGTTTAGACCTGAAACTGCTATTCTTAGAAAATCTTGTTTGCAAAGTTGGCCCTTGGCTAGCTTCTAGGAACTTGGAATTTAGAAAGATTCCCACCATTCCCTGAAAAGAATTGCTCACTCTGTCTTAACTGTGTATACAAAGAATGTGGTTTATGTT